CTTACAGTCCAGAAACAGAGGACCCTAGGACCATCAAGAGAGAAACGCACAAATAGGTGCGGAACATTATCCAGTGAAGAAGCAGCGCCAGAGATGGAGGCAGAGATGGGGGTATGGAGAAGGGGAGTGGCTGAGGACTCTAGATTCATCAACTAAGAAGAGAAGGACTAAGAACTGGTGGCCAGGAGCAGACTTGCAGAATGTGCCCTTTGGCGATGTAAATTGTTATATATGCCTGAGTGGGGAAAAAAAAAGTTGATGAAAAAGCCCCTTTGTATATATACAAAATTTTTGTTTATTGACTGTTTATGTTATTTGTAAGACTTTTAGTAGTTAAGTTTTGGGGGAGTCAAAATTATACTCAGATTTTCAACTGTAAAAAAAAAAGAAAAAAGAAATGAGGAAGTAGAAGAGCTGAACAGCAAATTTCAAAGGACAGCTTGAGAAGACAAAGTGAAGTGTTATAATGAAAGGTGCAAAGATCTGGAATTAGAAGGCCAAAAAGGAAGAACACACATTTCAAACTGAAAGAACTGAAGAAAAATTCAAGTCTCAACTTATAATATTGAAGGATTCTATGGATAGAATATTGAGCGAAGCAGAAAGCTTCCAAAGAAGATGGAAGGAATACGTTGCACCAAAAAGAAATGGTTGGTGTTCAGCCATTTCAAGAGGTAGCACATGATCAAGAGCCAAAGGTAATGAAGGAAGAAGTTCAAGCTACACTGAAGGCATTAACGAAAAACAAAGCTTCAGGAATTGATGGTATACAAATTGAAAACAAATGCAACACTGGAGGTGCTCGTTTATCTAGGACCAGAAATTTTCCATACAGCTATCTGGCCAACCAATTGAAAGAGATCTATATTGTGCCTGTTCTAAAGAGAGGTGACCCAACAGAACATGGGAATCATATTTAACACTATCATTAATATCACATGCAAGTAAAATTTTGTTGAAGATCATTCAAAAACTTTGCAACAGTACATCGACTGGAACTGCCAGATATTCAAGCTGGATTCACAAGAGAACGTGGTATCATTGCTGACATCAGATGGATCTTGACTGAAATCAGAGACTACCAAAAAGATGTTTACTTGTGCTTTATTGACTATGCAAAGGCTTTAAATTGGATCATGACAAACTATGGATAACATTGCAAAGAAAGGGAATTCCAGAATACTTAATTGTACTCATGAGGAACATGTAAATAGACCAAGAGGCAGTTGTTAAAACAAGACAAGGGGATATTGAATGGTTTAAAATCAAGAAAGGTGTGGGCCAGTGTTAGATCTTTCACCATACTTATCCAATCTGTATGTTGAACAAATAATCTGAGAAACTGGATTATATAAAGAAGAGCATGGCTTCAGGATTGGAGGAAGATTCATTAACAACCTGCAGTAAGCAGATGGTACAACCTTGTTTGCTGGAAATGAAGAGGACTTGAAGTACTGATGATGATCAAAGACTATACAAACTTCAGTGCGGATTGCTCCTCAATGTAATGAACAAAATCCCTCACAACTGACATTATGATGAATGAAGAAAAGATTGAAGTTGTCAAAGACTTCATTTTGCTTGGATCCATAATCAACACTCGAGTAAGTAGCAGTTAAAAAATCAAATGATGTATTGAATTAGGCGAACCTGCCACAAAAGACCTATGTTGTTGTTGTTGTGAAGTGCCATCGAGTCGGTTCCGACCCATAGCGACCCTGTACAGGGTTTCCAAGGGTGTAAATCTTTACGGGAGTAGAAAGCCTCATCTTTCTCCCGCGGAGCGGCTGGTAGTTTCAAACTGCTGACCTTAAGGTTCGCAGCCCGATTCGTAATCACTACACTACAAGAGCTCCTTACAAAAGACCTATATTAAGCGTTAAAGAGGAAAGATGTCAGTTTGAGGACTAAGGTGTGCCTGACCCAAGCCATGGTAGTTTCAATCACCTCCTGTGCATGTGAAAGTTGGACAATGTATAAAGGAAAACTGGAGAAAATTTGATGGATTTGAATTATATTAAAAGTACCAACTGGGAGTCAGGGCAAGATGGCGGAGTAGGCAGATACACTGAGCAGACCCTCTGCAACGAAGACCTGGGAGAACAAGTGAAATAGATACAGGTGGTGATCCTGGAACACTGAGCTTCAAAAGACAGGACAGAGAGGTGGACTGAGTGCTGACTGCAAGAGGAAGCTGAACAGGAGCAGTGAGAGAGAAGAGAAAATAAGTAAGCTATCAGTTGGCTATCACCTAGCTGGAGCCAGGCCATCTTGAGCTTTTGCAAGTGGCTGCCTGTGGGCACAGGCCCAGGCTGCAGGCGGGAGACAAGGGGTTGCAGTCCTCCCTTGTTCTCTTGACCTCCTGGTAGCCAGGGCGTGACCAGTCTTCCCATTGCCAATGCAGTGGCCAGTAGCAACCCCTCCTGTGCAGCCTCTGCCTGGGGTCCTTCCAGAGGCACATGAACGTTCCCTGAACTACACTACACAAACTGTGAAGTGAGAACTGTGTTCATACTTCCAGTATCTATCACATCCACAAGGAGACAACTGGTGAGTGCCTGAGAATACACCAACATACAATCATCAATTAAATACAAGCATAATAACACCACTATGTCTCAGAAAATAGACACTTTCAGGTTACATGAAGAAACAAGACAGTGTGCCTCAAACAAAGTGACTCAGAAAATACAATACCAGAAATTGAATCAGAACTACTTGATAAGGAAAGTAAAAGAATGCTATTTAGGAACCTTTAACAATTTGAGAGGAAGATAAATGAAAGTAAGGAAGAATTCAGGAAAATAACACAAGGACAAAATAAATGAAAAATAAATGAAAAACTGGAAATCATACAAAAACAGCCATTAGAAAGTCTGAAGATTAATACTAGGACTTCAGAAATAATACACTGAAAAGGCAAAGAAATAGAATTTAGTGAATGAAAGGTCAAGTCACTGAGCTTAAAACAAATCCTTCAATACTCATCTTTAAGAGGAACAATCAGAAAAAATAATTTTAAAAATCCAGAGAAAGCCTAAGTTTTATGTGGGACACTGTCAAGAGGAACAACTTACATGTGATTGGAATTCCAAAGCAGGAATAGACAAATAAAGCCATAGAGAAAGTTATCCAAGAGTTGCTGGAAAAAAACTTCCCTAACATCATGAAAGATGAAAAAATAGCCATTCAAGAAGGTAAAGGAACCCTAGACAGGACATACTCAAAAAAAAAAAAAAAAAAAAAAAATTATCAAGACATATTATAATCAAACTTTTCAAAACCAAAGACAAGGAAAATATCCTCAGAGCAGCTTGGCAAAAAATGAAAAGTTACCTACAAAGGAGAATGAATAAGGCTAAGCTCTGATTTCTCAGGAGAAACCATGCAGGCAAGAAGACAATGGGATTACTTACATAAAACTATGCAAGAAAAAAACTGCCAGCCAAGAATCATATATCCAGCAAAATTGTCCATCAAATATGACAGAAAAATGAGGACATTTCAAGATAAACAGAAATTAAAAGAATTTGCAAAAATAAGACCAATACTACAATAAGTATAAGGGAGTTATCTGGACAGAGAACGAACAATCAACAAGCTGAGACTAATAAAATGACAATATCACCCAGACAGAGAAGCATTCAAGGTAAAACAAACCTTGTTGTTTCGCTACGTACCATCAAGTCAGTTCCAACTCTTAATCACCCTGTATAGATCTTCCGAGCAGTAGCTGGTGAGTTTGAACCACCGACCTTATCTAGTTTTAGGGTTACAGTTAGGTTTATTTATTTTATTTTTTTCTGGATATCCAGTAGATTTTCTGAAATAAATAAATAAACCTAACTGTAACCCTAAAACTAGACCAAGTCTTACTCCTAGCCCTAGCCCAACACCTACCCCCATAACCCTAACACTAAATGAAGTCCTAGGCCTAGCCTAGACCCAGCCATAGTCCTAACCCTAACTCCTAACTCCTACTCATCCCCATCCATGCACCCACCCATCCCCCCAAATTAATTAATTTTTTTTTTTTTTTAAAGTACCATGGACTTCTAGAAGAGCTAACAAAACTGTAAAACTGTCTTGGAAGGACAGCCAGAATGCTCCTTATAAGCCCAGATGGTGGAACTTCATCTCTCATACTTTGGATATGTTATCAGGAGGGTCCTGGGACCTAGAGAAGGACATCATGCTTGGTAAAGTGGGGAGGAGGTGTCAGCAAAACAGAGGAAGGCCTCCCCGCCCCAAGGAGATGGATCGACACAGTGGTAGCAGCAACAGACTCAAATGTGACAACTGTGAAGGTCGCTATGAGTTGGAACTGACTCAGGGGCACCTAACAATAAACAACAACAGCCAAGGTCCCCTGGTTTGAGACAGAGTTGGGACAAAGGTGCAATAAGAAGGCCAGTACTGTTGGTACTGTGTACCTCTGGGTGCTTGCGTCCACCCATGCCACATCACCAGCTCCCTGACACCAAACCTAGAGACGCTCTCCCAGCTGTGGGTTTTAACCACTCCAGATTCTCAGATAAGATTTGTTCTGTGTTCACACATTCAATAAATATTCACTGAGCACCCATCCCAGTACTTGGCCCGGGGAATAGACTTGTGAACAAAATGCAACCCTGCCCTATCCTTGATGTGGTAATAAATCTAGTGGGGAAGACAGACACAGAAACATACCAGCAAGGCTCCCATGCCGTAGGGTATATAATACTATAGAAACATGAAGATGAAAGTCATAAATCGAGCTTGGAAGGATGAAGAAAATCTCACAGAGTAGAAGCAGTTTTTGAATCAACGTGGGTTTGTTTTAGCCTGTTTCTGGTTCTGTGGTGACTAAGGCTTCACACCAGTTGTCTCGGGCTTCATCTGATTCTATCACAGTCTCCCCCATATTCCACCAGTGCTTTGTTGCCAAGGCCAGCCCCACAGCCCCCATGTTAAATGTCTACTCAGAAGGCTTGCTTTGGAAACACTTGAATAGGGCTTACGTTTTTGGAACTCCAGGATGGTATAAAGGATGGTGATGCCATCGAGAGCTTCCCGGCCAATCTCCTCATCAGGATCCCCAATGCGAAGGATGAGCCTCCCCAGCAGAAGCCCCAGAGTCGGGAACCCCGAGGGCATCTATTTGGGTCAGAATCTTAGAGATTGAATCTTATAGGTTTAATAGTGCTATATAGTAAATGGCAAACTATAAATTAATTCAGCAAATAGCTGAATGGCCTGGTAATGGATAATGAGGGCCACCTAGCAATTCCTGGATAGCAATTCCTCTAAGCTTGGAAGATGTTCCCCAGTAGTGCCCACCCCTCCCAGGGGCCACTCACAAAGAGAGGCTGTGTCAGAAGTGTGTGGTTCAACACGGAAACATTGCTGTTCACAGCCCGTGCTCTCTCGTGGGCTTTCCCAGAGTTCATCCAGGACCCCAGAGGCTGTGGGGACAATAAGGACAGGACTCAGACTGCAGACAGGTGACCAGTCTCTGCTGCCTGGGTGAACAAGCCTTTGACTCAGCAGGAACCTTCTAGGGAGGGTGTGAAGAGAAATCACCACAGCCCTCATCCTCCTTTCAGAGCTTAGGGGGAGATAGGGTCCCAGAAGCTGAGAACAGGACTCATAACAGGAGGGAAGAAGGGGGTCAGTGAGGAGATGAAAGGTGAAGGGTCATGCAGAGATATGAGAGAGAAACAGGGAGGAGAATGGAGAGAATGGAGATGGGACCATCTGTAGCAGGAAGATGGGGGATAGAGAGAGAGACAGTCACAGGACAGGGAGAATGCCTGTAAGAGGAACAGGCAGACAGAACACCTGCACAAGATGACATCCTGAAGCCTAATAGCTCCTTCCTGGGTCCAAGTTCCCCCCACTCCTGAGTCAGCACCCCTATCTCTGGCCCCATTTCTACCACATACCTCCAGGATGCTCTTCAGCCCAGCAGGAGTGGGGTCCTCAATAAAGAGGGCATTGAGGAGTGTCTGCAGGGCATCCAGGGTTTGATGGTAAAGTATCTGGGGACAGAAAAAGGACCTAGTCACCAGGGGGGATTTCAAGTAGACCCCAGACCCAGGCAATTCCTGGCATGGATTTGAGGAGAAGGGCCTTTCATACTCCAGATTCTCGGAGAAGACTTGCTCTGTATGAACTCATTCAATAAATATTCACTGAGCACCCATGTGCTCGTCCCAGTGTTCAGTCTGGGGAATAGAGTTGTGAACAAGATGCCACCCTGCCTTGTCTGCAGTGTGAAAAGTAGTTCTTGGGGTGATACTGGGTAAATTATTCCTTCCATGTGTTACAATTTCCTTATTGGCAAATTGTCATAGTTAACCCTGTTCTTCCTAAAGGGGGAATGGGAGTGGAAGCAGAAACTTGGCATTTGCTGAGACTCTACCACATCATTTTGTCTTCAAATTGTTTCCCTCATTTTACAAATGAGTAAACACTTGCCAAAGGTCCCACAACAAGGATGCTTTAAGTTAGGAGGACCAAATGAGAAGGTATATGCGAACAGGATCTAGAATTGTAAGAGTTAAATAGAAGGGCCAACCTTATTTTTAATACTGTCTGTGGGAAAGAGAAAAACTTTTTTGAATTTCTACTCCTAGATCCAAAGAGATTTTCCAAGTGGGCTCCTTTAAGGAAGCCATCTCTCCCCCGAGGTTCCAGGTTCCTCAAATCATCACAGGCAGTGCATGCATACAGGCTGGTTGATGGGTTGGAGCTATTCAGAGATGACTCTCTCTTCCTTGTCCCTCCTCCTCTTGCCAACTCCCCAAGTCTGTCCCTGAAATTCTCTTTGTGTGAGCTCTTGCCCAGAAAGTGGTTCTCAGGATTACACAACCACCAAGTAAGCCTCAGTCACAGACTACCTCCTCCTTCCCTGCCATATGCTGCCAATCACTGTGCAACACTGACCTCTGCTGTCCATATCTGGTACTACACTACAACTGCCCTCTCTTCTCACCCAACAAGGATCTCAGCACTGCACCTTCTTGCGTGGCCTGAGCCCTCCCCCACTCCCTAAACTCATTTCTAAGCATTCACTCTCACCCTCTAGGCTTCAGCCACACGGCCTTCGTACATACTGCAGTCACAATGTTCTCTCTGTCCATAGGTCCCTACATTGGCTGTTCCCTCTGCCTGGAATGCCCCTTTTCCCTCCATTCCCTTCTAATTAATTCTTCTATAGCCTTTAACTCCACCATCCTGGCCCCTTGGGGAATGTCCCCTCCAGGCATGCTCTTGACAACATCGCCAAACCACTGCTGTAGATTTCAACTCATTGACAACCTATAGGACAGAGGAGAACTACCCAGAGGGCTTCCAAGCTGTAAATCTTTACAGAAGTAAGTAGATTAGCACATCTCTCTCCCACAGAGTCGCTAATGGATTCAAACAGCTGACCTTTAGCTGCTGAGTGCTTAATCACTGTGCCACCAGGGCTCCTTTGAATAGCACCAAGTACTTGTTATTTGCAGCCTTTACCACTGCTTGAATTTTGCATTTATCTGTGTGAATCTTTGATAACTTCCATCTCCCTCCTCCCCACCCTTGTGTTACTGAGTTTGGCATGAAGTAGGTAGGCACTCAAGGAGCTCTGGTGGCACCATGAGCTGGCCTGCTAACCTCAAGATTGGCAGTTCAAAGCCGCTGCTCCATAGGAGAAAGATGAAGCAGAGCCTGTTCCCATAAATATTTCGTCCTGGAAACCCTGAAGCCCAGCTCTATGCTGTCCTGTAGAATCACTGAGTCCGAATCTGATGAGGGCAGTGGGTCCGGACTCAGCTAATGTTTGCTGAATGTGCCTCATCTGAGCTCTGCTTTAACCTTCCCCAGTGACCAGCCCCCTACACTCTCCCTGATGCTAACGGTCACCTGTGCCTGCTCTACATGTTCCTCTCAGGAGAACCATGCAATGGCTCCAAGGTGCCCACATCAACCTCTCGAGTTTCCTCTTCTCCAAGCCTCAGCCCCAGCTCCCCCAGTCTTTCTTTGTTATGACCCTTAGTCTCTCTGTCCCTAAATACCTGGTCACTTCCTGCTGCCATGCCTCACCTGTATGGCCTCAGCCTTGGCCTCATCTTTCTCCTGCATGACCTGCACGGACGGCAAGGAGAACACGCTCTTCACACACGTCTTCACCAGCTCTGACCTCTCCCGCACTCCCAGGACTGGCTGTGCATGACTGGAGAAGACACAGGAAGCAAAGGCATTCCTGTCGCATGAGGAAGTGGGCCCTGA